TCTGATCTTTTCTGAGCTATTCTTGTGAGAGTGAATAACTCTCAAGAGAGCTGATGTGTTTATCAGAGGTTTCCACTTTTGCTTCTTTATTTTCTCTTTCTGCCATCATGTAAGAAGTGCTTTCACTTCTTGTCATGCTTCTGAGGCCTCCTCAGCCATGTGGAACTGTAAGTCCAATTAAACCTCTTTTTTTTTTCACAGCTTTGGGTATGTTCTTATCAGCAGTGTGAAAATGGTCTAATGCAGTAAATTGGTACCAGAAGTGGGGCATTGCTGAAAAGATACCTGAAAATGTGGAAGTGACTTTGGAACTGGATAACAGGGAGAGGTTAGAACAGTTTGAAGGGTCAGAATAAGACAGGAAAATGTGGAAAAGTTTGGAACTTCCTACAAACTTGTTGAATGGCTTTGACCAAATTTCTGATAGCAATATGGACAATAAGGTCCAGTCTGAGATGGTCTCAGATAGAGAGAAGGAACTTGTTTGGAACTGGAGTAAAGGTGACTCTTGTTATGTTTTAGCAAAGAAGCTGGCAGCATTTTGCCCCTGCACTAGAGATTTGTGGAACTTTCAGCTTGAGAGAGATGATTTAGGATATCCAGCAGAAGAAATTTCTAAGCAGCAAAGCATTCAAGAGGTACTTGTGTACAGTTAAAGGCATTCAGTTTTAAAAGGGAAAACAGGGCATAAAAGTTCAGAAAATTTGCAGGCTACAATGCAATAGAAAAGAAAAAAAAAAAACATTATCTGGGAACAAATTCAAGTTGACTGCAAAAATTTGCATAAGTAGAAAGGAGACTAATGTCATCCCCAAGACCATGGGGAAAATGTTGACAGGCCATGTCAGAGACCTTCATGGCAGCCCCTCCCAGAGGCCCAGGAGGAAAACGTGGTTTCGTGGTCTGGGCCCAGGGTCCCCGTGCTATGTGCAGCTAGGGACTTGGTGCCCTGTATCCAAACCGCTCCAGTTGTGACTGAAAGGGGCCAATGTACAGCTCGGACTGTGGTTTCAGAAGGTGGAAGCCCCAGGCTTTGGCAGCTTCCATGTGGTGTTGAGCCTGCAGGTGCACAAAAGTGAAGAATTGAGGTTTGGGAAGCTCCACCTAGATTTCAGAAGATGTATGAAAACACCTGGATGTCCAGGTCAAAGTTACCTGTAGGATTGGGGCCCTCATGGAGAACCTCTAACTAGGGCAGTGTGGAAGGGAAATGTGGGGTTGGATCCCCCCCCACAGAATCCTCAGTAGGGTACTGTCTAGTGGAGCTGTGAGAAGAGGGCCACCATACTCCAGATCCTAGAATGGTAGATCCATCCACAGCTTGAACCATGCCTGGAAAAGCCACAGACACTCAATGCCAGCCTGTGAAAGCAGCCAGGAGGGTGGCTGTATCCTGCAAAGCCACAGGGCAGAGCTGCCCAAGACCATGGGAACCTACCTCTTGGATCAGCGTAACCAGGATGTAAGACCTGAAGTAAATGGAGGTCATTTTGGAGCTTTAAAGTTTGAATGCACCACTGGATTTTTGACTTGAATGGGCCCTGTAACTCCTTTGTTTTGACCAATTTCTCCCATTTGGAACAGTTGTATTTACCCAATACCTGTACGCACATTGTATCTAGGAAATAACTAGCTTGCTTTTGATTTTACAGGCTCTTAGGCAGAAGGGACTTGCCTTGTCTCGGATGAGACTTTGGACTGTAGACTTTTGGGTTAATGCTAAAATCAGTTAAGACTTTGGGCCAGTGTGATGGCTCACACCTGTAATCCTAGCCCTTTGGGAGGCCCAGGTGGGTGGATTATCTGAGCTCAGGAGTTCAAGACCAGCCTGGGCAACACAGTAGAACCCCATCTCTAGTAAAATACAAAAAATTGCCCAGGCTTCGCAGTGTGCACCTGTACTACGAGCTACTTGAGGGTGGTGGGCTGAGGCATCAGAATTGCTTGAGGCAGGAGAATTGCTTGAACACGGAAGGGGGAGGTGGAGGCTGCAGTGAGCCGAGATCATGCCACTGCACTACAGCCTGGGCGGTGACAGAGCGAAAATAAGGACTATTGGGATGGGATGGTTGGTTTTGAAATGTGAAAACATGAGATTTGGAGGGGCCAGGGTTGGAATGATATGGTTTGGCTGTGTTTCCATCAAATCTCAACTTGAATGGCATCTCCTAGAATTCCCACATGTTGTGGGAGGGACTCAGGGGGAGGTAATGGAATCATGGCGGTGGTTCTTTCCCGTGCTATTCTTGTGATAGTAAATAAGTCTCACTAGATCTAACGTATTTATCAGGGGTTTCCACTTTTGCTTCTTCCTCGTTTTCTCTTGTTGCTGACACATAAGAAGTGCCTTTTGCCTCCTGCCATGATTTTGAGGCATCCCCAGACATGTGGAACTGTAAGCCCAATTAAACCTCTTTTTCTTCCCAGTCTTGGATATGTCTTTAGCAGCAGTGTGAAAACAGATTAATTCAGGCATATTTCAGACACACTTTGTTTTTTTCAAATTTTTAACTTCTCTGAAATCAGGATGCTTCTGGCAATGAAGTGAGTTATAGATATGAATAAAATCTACTATTCATTCTAGTAAGAAAATATGGAAAATTTTGTTCAATTTGTCTTGGTTTCACTTTTCTGTTGGCAATATATGTGAATTGTACTTTTTATTATCCTATATATAGAATTCTGGGTGCTGAGATGGCCAATAATCTTTGGTCTTTGCAATATTAACATAAGCAAATTTAGTCAATTATCTTAGGAACAAAATAGACTAATCCTTTAGTAAATATGCATACTTAACTCTTTATGAAACAATTAACAGCCCATTTAAAGCTATTAATGCAACGTTCTAAAACAATTTTGCATTCTAAGAATTTTTTTTTTTTTGTTTAACACCCTAAGATTTATTTTAGATTGCCATTGATAGCTCATTAGGCTTTTTAAAGCATCATTTCCTCCTTTGTGCAGTCTTTTTTTTAAAGCTTCTACTTTAGGTTCAGGAGTGCATGTGCAGATTTGTTGCACAGGTAAATTTCACATCATAGGGGATTGCTATACAGATTATTTTGTCACCCAGATAATAAGCATAGTGACCAATAAGTAATTTTTCATTCCTCACCCTCTTCCCACCCTCCACCCTTAAGTAGGCTCTGGTGTTTGTTATTCCCTTCTTTGAGTCCATGAGTACTCAGTGTTTAGCTCCCACTTCTAAGTGAGAACCTGTAGTATTTTGTTTTCTGTTCCTGCATTCGTTTGCTTAGGATAATGGCCTCCAGCTCCATCCATGTTGCTATAAAAGCAGCTAGAAAGAAGGGGCAGGTCACCTACAGAGGGAACCCCATTGTGCTAACAGCAGAACCTTCAGCGGAAACCCTACAAGCCAGAAGAGATGGGCAGCCTAATCAGCACTCTTAAAAAAAGAAGGTCCAACCAAGAATTTCACATCCAGACAAACTCAGCTTTGTAAGCAAAGGAGAAATAAAATCCTTTTCAGACAAGCAAATATTAAGAAAATTTGTTACCACTATATTTGCCTTACAAGAGGTCCTTAAAAATTGAAAAATCACTTCTATATGCCTGCATAATTATCTTGGAATAGACAGAAATCTTATTTTCCTGTTTGACTTTTTATTTTTGCAGAGTTCAAAACTTTCAGTAGGACATAAAAGATTATGATTAGGGTAACCAACTACTAAGTTTTTGCAAAACAAATCTTTTCATTATTCAAGGGATAATGTTTAATTATAGTTGTAATGTATTCAATAGCAGTCTTCATAATAAAAATCATGTTTTATAATTTTTAATATTTTTATGATTATATGCATAAACATTTTATGTTTTATAATTAAATATTTATGTTTAATTGATTAATTTTCAATGTCTTTAAAGTTTTGCACTGTAATGTACCATGTTGTTTAATCTATAATAATACATTGAAAATAATCCCACAGAGAAGGGGTAGAGGCTGGAGATGAGAGGGTTGTAGTCTGTGTTAGATCTAGGTAAAAGAAAGAAAAAGATTGAGAATATATGTCTTTTTGCCTCAAGTATTAAGTGGGACTACTGAGTAGAGTTAGTACACAGACTCATTATAGAGGACAGGGACAGTTTATTCTGATAAGCTAGCTTAATAGAAATATCCTTTAAGAGTACATATGTTCTAAAAATTGTTAAGACATCAGTAATTTTATTACACAGTAGAAATATAAGCAATAGATACCAGTGTTGTGTTCCACATTTAGCTCTGGAAATGTCAGTAGTGAGACAGGGAATTTAATGGAGTTCTCTGAAGTGACCACAAAAGCCTATGGAATTCTGATATATCCCTAACATGGTTTATTTCTTGCATTTTCTGGGCAGCAGAAAGAAGCAGCCTTCAGTGGAAGATGTCAAAAATCCAGGGAGAAAGTCTGGGCTGCTATACAGGATTTTGTTGCACTGTTTTGCTCTCTCTTATGTCTTGATATCAGTATAGTGGGTGCAATTAAGATGGGTTAATAGGTGTAACAATTGGAGGCGTGCATCTTATGAAGTTTAAAGAGTTAAGTGCCTGTCAAGATTGGAATTTTGGTTTCAAGACTCGGCAAAAATTGTATCAGGAAAGCAGAGAGAAATAAAACTTCAAAAATAAACCATAAAAGAAAAAAAGGAAAAATTGCACCAGAATCATGAAAAGAGTTTTTTAAAAGTAGAATCCAAATAACTATTTGTCTTTCCTTGCCAATTGTAGAGTAATGCTGGGATAATGCTAACCAAGAACAACAAATACACTCAAGGTCTGGCAACCTCTGGTTTTTGTCAATTAAAAAGAAGGTAGCTGTCGGGCGCGGTGGCTTACACCTGTAATCCCAGCACTTTTGTAGGCTTAGGTGGGCAGATCACGAGGTTAGGAACTCGAGACCAGCCTGACTAACATGGTGAAATGCCATATCTACTAAAAATATAAAAATTAGCCGAGCATGGCACTGTGCACCTGTAATCCCAGCTACTTAGGAGGCTGAGACCGGAGAATCACTTGTAACCAGGAGACAGAGGTTGCAGTGAGCCAAGGTCGTGCCACTGTACTCCAGCCTGGGCAGCAGAGTGAGACTGTTTCAAAATAAAAAAAAATTTAAAAAAAGGAGGTAGCTAACCAAGAAAAGGAGGTATTAGATGGAGTGGCTGAGATGTTCTCTTGCAGACAGAAAAGGTGTATCTGATGGGAGAAAGAACAGGGAATATGGGACTGCCAACAGCTATTAAAAGGCACTCAGATTTTATGTCTTTCTTTCAGCTCTACCCAACATACCAAGAACAAAATAAAGCTAGAGTTCAGCCTTGTCTGATCCTTGCAGTTGGTGACCTGAATTTGGAACCTATAAATGTGAATTCAAATTAAATAACAATAATAAAAAACCTGTGTATTAGATCACATTTCACTGTCAAGTATGGGTACAAATGCAAATACAGATGGCATAATATAACTTCCTCTTGCCAGGAAGTTAACAACCCCTGGAGAAATTTGAGCACAAAGATGGACCATATAGACCTACTGCATATCCCTACTTGCAATTTTCCATTCCTGTTCTTTGATCTGTATCAGTTTACACTACTTTGACATCATTCTGGTATTTTTTATGCAGCATCTTTACTCCAGTTCTATAGTAAATTTCAAACACATGATCTTATTAAAATTTCCATGATGTGTCTAGAGTTTTTTTAAAAACACATCTAGCAATATCCTCAACTTATAAGCTAAAAATTTAAATAATTAAATTACTCTTGAATATTATGGTAGGAAAAATAAAACATAGGTCCTTAAATTCACAAAATCCAAGTTTGATAATAACAATCAGACGTAGCCTTTCTTTCTGATGTAGTAAAGACTTAAGGAAATACTTTCAGTAGATCTACCAAGATAGAAATCCATTACATCGTTTATTTGTAGGTTTACCTCTGACATACTATTTTATCTCTTGGTATCTCAGTTTCTTTGACTCATAATTCATATTAAAACATTTGTTTAAAAAGTTTGATGTGAAAATCCATGCCATATAATTATTACATGCTAAATCCTGTACTATGTGATGAATTAATAAATGATAACTATGATTAGAAAGAATTACAGTGTTTGGCATCTATATTTAAAATTGTGAATAATAAAAATTAATAAGTAACACAACACACTAGAATCTGTTACTAAGCCTGCAAATGTTTTTTTCTTACTTTTTTCTCACAGCAACCCCAAAATGGAGGTACTATTGTTATCTCCATTTACAAATTAGGAAACTGAGGCACAGATATGTTCTTGGGTACTAGTCAGCAGTAGTTGTTCTACAAGTAAGGTGAAAAGTAGAACCTGTTTATCAGCAGGTATTGGATAAATAATCTCCCTAAGCTTGTTTCATCCTCTCTTTCTCTACATCAATTTAAAGGACTGTCAGTATATCTGCATGCAAAAGATTACGAAAAAAAAAATGTGAGCATTGTTTTTTCAACAGGTTTTTATGTAAGTTATTTAGCTACACATTAGAATAATTTTAGAATGACAACCTAACTTAGAATTTCAGTATTTTTTCTTTTAGTGGAAGAAGTCTTAACTATGATATGTGTGTGCTGCCATCTGATGTTAACTTTCTAGGATTACATGTTATGTTAATGAATTTACTAAGCTACATGATGAATGAAATAATTCATAATAATTCATTAGCCTGGCACTGTGTAAAAACAATGGTTTTCAGGTTTTAATTTTTTCATACAAGGAAAGACACATTTGTTATGGCTGTGTATAAGGAACAGAGAGATATACCATATTCAGTTCTCCCAATAGTGGGAATATTATCACACTTGCTAATAAAGATAATTTGCCTATTATGACCAAGTTACCACACACTTTGGACAGGAACTTACCTGATTAAATCTCAGCTGGCTGCTTGTAAGGGATGCTGTGATGCATCATCATTCTGAAGGGCATATTCACCCAGAACCTGGGAGTCCTGCCCAGAAGCAGCTCTACTGTCTGCCCTTTCTGAAAATTGCCATGCTCCCTTCAATGGTCAAGGCCACTTCAATAACTGGTAGATGCACATTACAGGCTACCTTTCTCCAGTTCAGGACAACTCAGAAGAGCTTTCCTAGTTTTATAGCTTTCCGTGGGATTAGCTAAGGCTTGTGTTGTCACTGTATCACAGACTAGTTTCTTCCTGTGCTGAATCTTGCTCCTTGACAGGTAAATTATAAAAATAAACCTGTAGATTGTTCCCTAATAAATATTCTTCATGCTAATCTCCATCTCAGAGTCTGCTTATCATATCCAGTGAAACCTCCCTGTAACACTAATTATATCCAGTTTGTACTTCAGAGCACTTGAGAAAACTACCTAGGATGTTACTTCTGATTACTGTTGGTAAAATACTACTGTTTTATGATACGCCCATGAATAAAGTCACAAATGAGCATTTGTGAATGATGCACCAAAGCTATGGATTCTAGCTTTAACAAGTGATTTTGCTTAATCTAGCTATCACTTTAGGTAATGACTTCTCATTCTGTTATTGAAAAATCTCTACAGGCAGTTATGTTTGGCTCTTCACTCCAACCCTAATTCTATCATGCTCACCCTACACATCCCATGCATTGCTTATAAAACAGCTTATTCTATATTCTCATATTTCCTTTGAAATATTACTCAGTTTTAGTAATAAACTTTACTTATAATCTTGTTTCTATTTCATAATTTTGTACCTTGGTACTTGAATATATGTATCCTTATAATATTTTTGAATGTTTCCTTTGTACTCATCTTAACTCCCCAGTAATAAAGTCTCTAAAATCTTGTTTTTAGATAAGAAAAATGAGAAACCTTATTTTTAAATAGCTCATACAAGGCTACATTTTTTATTTATTCTTCAGTCTTTTTTAGTACCTTCTAGCCACACTTATTTGCTCATCTGGCAACCAAGAATTTTGGACTCCGTTTTTCCTAAGGAAGAAAAGTGGCTAAGAGCAGAATACCTGGAGCTAGCCTACTTCCATTTGAATATGGGCTCCAGTGCTTACAACTTTGGATAAGGTGCTTAATTTTTCTGAATCTCAGTGTCATTATCTGTAAAATGGAGATGGTGGTATCATCTACCTCACAGGATTACTGAAGAATTACATGAGTCAGTGTAAGAAGGTACTAGAAAATTGCCTGTCAATAATAAGCACCATATGCATCTTAGCTACAACTTTTCCAACAGGGGAATGCTTATGATAGCCATTGATTTGTATCGTTTTGTTCAAGTCACACTTTGGATTCTAAGACGACCAAGATTAAAATTTTGAAATTCTTTTTTATTCATTTGTTTCCTTCTTTATATCATTTGTGTGAAGAAGTTGTTCATTAAATCGCCAGCCAGAGCCGGCACTATTTCTAACCCTTGCTTCTCTAGGCCAGTCCAGGGTTCAAGGAAGCAGGCTGAGGGTGCTCGTAAACCTGAGTGATACTGCTGGGCAATGAATGTGAGGCTAATTACCTGATGCACCTGAGACTTTCCTAAATTGGTCTTGTGGAATTACATAGCAGATTTAGAGTGGAAAGACAGTTTCTCTAAGTTTTTATGGAATGCAATGAAACTAGTGAGTAAATTTACCAACTTTTTTTTTTCATCTGGCAACATCAACAGGCTAAATATTTGGATATCTTTAATCTCAAATGATCGTCTTAGCCTCTGGACTACTGCCCAGTGAGGAAAGCTATGAAATGCACGGATAACTTGTTAATCAATATTTGCCATATGTGCTGGCAGCATCCGCATCGGTTGGAAGCTTGTGGTAGTCTCCGTGTCAGACCTTCTGAATAAGAATATCAGAGAGTGAGGCCCAGGAAAGTGTGTTTTACTAAGTTCTTCAGAAGATTCTTAAGGACTCTGAAGTTTGAGAAGCACTGTCTTAGGTTACATAAGCATGAAGCTAGTCTGGCGGAGCTCTGTCATTGACTAACTGTATGATGGTGAGGAACTTGCTTACCTCCTCTGGGCTTCTATTTCTTCTTCTACGTCACATGTTTGTTGTGAGGATCATACCTTTAGTATATTGCAAGTGCATGGAACTTAACAAAATCTCAGTAGGCATCATTACTATTATTGCCAATATTGATGTTGCTATTTTTTAGATCTTAACATCTTCAGCATGTTGCTGGCTAGTAAAATGATTCCTCTCCTGAAGGTGTCATATGTGTTCACAGTTTCTTCTTGTACAGTTGGTGATTCAATGTTTGTTATTTAAGTGGTAAAATTGTTCACAATATTTATTAAATATTTAAATGGTAAACAATAAAACTGCAAAGAAACAATGGATAAAAAATAAAAATGCTACCTATCTTGAGATTGCTTTAACAATTTTAGAATCCATAGAAGCTATACTGTAAATGTATGTGCAGGTATATAGTTTTCCTTAGTTAGATTGAGTTCCATTAAGTTAGACTGTGATTTAATCTAAGTTATAAACATGTATATTTTGCAAAGATTCCTTATATATTGTTTTTAAAAACAAATTGATGAGAGGACACAGAGTTGGTACTCATTATGTCTAACCTCAGAAGCAGGAGACAGGTTTAGTTTACTTAGTCTATTCCAGTTTTAAAAGGAATGATTTTTTTTTGGAAAAGGTTTAAATCATCAAGCTTCAACTAAATTTTCAGAGTGATCCAGATAAAGGTAGGCAAAGGAGGATGAAGACTCATGCAATCACCTGACATTTTCTTAGGCTGATTTATTTAGCATGTAGTTCAACCTCCACAGTAGTCTTTTTCTTTTAAGGTGACTTACAGAATAATTGTGTTTTACAAATTAATGGCATCTTTTATTAGATGAAATACTTTAATATATTGATACTCATTCCTAGGTTACCATGCTTCATCTGCCAATGCATTGAAAACTTGGAATATAAATTAATTCAACCATTTCAGAAGATGGTGTGGTGATTCCTCAAAAATCTAGAAGCAGAAATACCATTTGAGCTGGAAATCCGGTTACTGTGTATATACCCAGAGGAATATCAATTATTTTATTACAAAGATACACACACGCATATGTTCACTGCAACAGTATTCACATTAGCAAAGACATGGAATCAATCTAAATGCCCATCAAAGATAGACTGGATAAAGGATATGTGGTAAACATGCACCATGGAATACTATGCACCCACAAAAAGGAGTGATATCATGTTTTTTGCAGGGACATGGATGGAGCTGGAAGGCATTACCTCAGCAAACTAACATAAGAACAGAAAACCAAATACCCCATGTTTTCACTTATAAATGGGAGCTAAACGATGAGAACACACGTACACGGGGAGGGCTACAACACACACTGGGGATTGTCAGGGGTTGGGGTAGAGGGAGGAAGAGCATTAGGAAAAATAACTAATGTATGCTGGGCTTAAAACCTAGGTGATTTGTTGATAGGTGGAGCAAACCACCGTGGCACATGTTTACCTATGTAACAAACCTACGCATCCTGCACATGTAATACAGAACTTAATTTTTAAAAAAACTCAAGAGAAAAAAAGAAAACTTGATTTCTCATTGCAATATTAGAAACAGAAGTTAATAGAGGGTAAATTGCAGGATATTTATATCATTAGGAGCAAGCTTCATGACTGACAAATGTTTGTATGGGACAAAATTCTAGCCAGTCTATGGAGGTTGAGGAGAATTCCCTGCTAATTTTCACCGATTTTACCCAGCTTTTCTTTTACAAGTATGAATCTTGGTGACACCATATGACCCCATATCTTGCTCAACCTGAACTACGTGTTTTATTGAGGTAAGTTTTTGCCTGTGTTTACCGTAGAGGTAATTTTATAGCCTCCTATATCCTGCTGTTGCTCCTGGGCAGGTTTCCCAGGTTTTGTTGGTGAAGATGTCCTCTGATTGATTCTCTAGCAATCCTTTGATGGCTGCTAGCTTAGGCCAATTTTCCTAGAGTGATGATTAAACTAAAGGTAAGAAAATATCAATACACATTGTTAAATTCAGGAAAGTACATTTGGAAATCAACTTTGAAAGATGACACTACCAATAATCTATTATTTACTTTATTAATAAGATGTTAAGAATTTAGTGAAATTCAATTCACCTTTCTCTTGACAATATATGTAAAATATATATTTTATTAGGCTTGTGCAGAGTCAGGATGCAAAGATGAGCAATCATTTATATTACTATAAGCAAATTTAATCACCTGTTTCATGAAAAAATGATGAATTATTCACTAAATTGACATTAAATATACATTTTATGAAGAAATGATCTTCATTTTGGTACTATCCATGAGCCATAAAGTTTGTATTGTAAAAAGTTTCTATGAACTTTTAGGATTTTTCTTAAAGGTAAAAAAGCATCAGTGCAATTCTATTTACTCGTTATTCAATGCAGAGCAACTTTTAAAAAAATTAAGATTCTTATTCTATCACATTGTAGAAAGACAAGCAATGCATATATTTTAACATACCTGCTTTATCTATTATTCTATTGATTTCTACATCTATCTAGCTATTCTTTTCTCTAACATATTGCTATTACATAAATATTAAGACAATTTAGTTTTGTTTAATTTTCGTTTCTCCAGTATGGGCATTTGTTGTTTCCTAAGTGAATGCAAGGTGCATTAGGTAAACATAGGGATGGAGTAAAATGGCTAAACCACCCAAATCACAAGGACATATTTTTTGTAGGTACTTTGCATACTGAATACCTCGTCATCTCTGTTATTAGTTATTATTTCAGGTAAGAACATAATAGGATAAATCTATGATGTAAGGTTCTACATGAAAATTTTAATTTTGTTAAATTGAAGTAAATAAGAATTATTACAAAATAAACAAGGCAAATCATCTCCTTCTCAAGTTAATCCTAGAAGAGGATTGATGTGTTGCCAAGATTCAATTGTGTTTCATATTCTCTTAGAATCCAAATTCTGGCTGCAGTCACTATGCATAAAGAAAATTATGTTCTAAAATGTTTTGTTTTTCATAAAGTGTTTCATAAATGGTCATTTCAATACAATTTTAAAATAGCGGTTAAGGGCTAGAGATTTCAAATTCACAATAACAAAGTTACTTTTCTAATGACACTTCATTACTAAGATTTTCTTATTTTTAGTCTTATGGAGGTGTTTTATCATTAAATAAAATAATGAATTTTTTAATAAAAAGTAGAATGCAAAACTCCTACAGGTCTGCATAATTATCTTCTAATACACACATGCAGGAGTCTCCTTTTCTTTTATAAATTTTGATCATTGCAGAGTTTATGCCTTCCAAAAGGAAATAGAAGAATGTGATGAAAACAAATTCAGTTTTCATAAATCACACCTTTTTTTGTGTGTGTCATGGAGTCTCTCTGTCAGCCAGGCTGGACTGCAGTGGTGCGATCTTGGCTCACTGCAACCTCCGCCTCATGGATTCAAGCGATTCTTCTTCACCAGCCTCCCAAGCTCTGCTGGCACTACAGATGTATGCCACCAAGCCTGGCTAATATTTTGTATTTTTAGTAGAGACGGGATTTCACCGGCTTAGCCAGGATGGTCTTGATCTCCTGACCTTGTGATCTGCCAGCCTTGCCCTCCCAAAGTGCTGGGATTACAGACGTGAGCCACCGCACCTGGCCAAACACACCTTTCTTTATTCATCACAATTATGCTATAACCTCTGGAAGCCTGCATAATGTGAAATAGATTTTCTCATTAAATAAATTCACATGATTGTATAATTTTTAATGTCTTTAAAATGTTCACTCTGTAAGATATCATGTGATATCTTCCGCTGTCCTACAGGATACAGGCAGGGAGGAGAGACTTGTGGTCTGTATAGGGTCTTGCTCCAGCAAAGAAAAGGAAAGATAGTGTGTGTTTTAGTTCCGGCATTAAGTAGGTGAACTGAGGAGAGTTAGAAAGAACTGAGAAAGATAGAACGGAGGAGAGTTAGACAGAGAATAGGTAGAAATGTGTAAGGGGACAACATGGATCATTGACTCTCGTAACCATAATAGAAATATCCCTTAAAAATATACACATTCCACAAAATGGCCAGACATCACTAATTTCCTTATAAGACAGAAATTTAAGTAAGACATACTAACTTTCTGAACTTCATCTTGCCCTAGAGATGACAGAAATTAGATCTGAATTTTAATACTTTTTTCAATTATAAAACTGAGAGACATTGATGTGCCAGAGGATGGTTAATTCTTTTGTTTCCTTGGGGAGCAGAAAGAGATGTCCAAAGTTCATGGAGAAAAGATAGGCTGCTGTACAGAATTTTTGTTGTGCTATCTTTTCTTCATCTCTTTTGCGATCAAGCCAGTGACTGAAATTAGAATGGATGTAATTGGGGTAGCAGTGGGAAGGGGATGAAATAAGTGCTGGCCAGGTATGGAATTCAATTCTAAGAAATGAAAAAAATAAAAAGTCAAACAAAAGGAAACATTAAAAAATAAAAGGAGGTGAAAGAAACTTGTACCTTGATCATGTGACAGGTATCCTAGAAATAGATGTAGAGCATCTGCTGCTCTTACCTTGGCAATCGTAGGGTAGTTTTAGAACAATGCTGGAGGCAGGCCGAAGTGGGAAGCCAGAAACCTAGAACAAATGCATTTATGTCTGGCAGCCTCGATCCCTTGGCAATTAGAAGAGAGGCAGCAGAGAAGGAAGAAGTTATGAGTACAGCAGGACTGAGATTACCTTGTGAAAAGGAATTGTCCATTTGTAGGAACAGAGGATAGGGAAGAAGAGACTATCAACTGCAACATAAAGCATCTCACATCTTGTGCCTTTCTTCAACTCAACCTATCACAGCGAGAAAAAGCAAAGTGAGAATTCTTGTCTAATGTCTTCAGATATACCAAAAAAGCCAACAGATATATTGATTCAAAAATATTTAACCTAATGAGAGGAAGACAACAGTGGAACATCCTATACTAAAAGAAACTGAAGTACTTAAAAAATCAATACAAATTGTAAAAAGCACAAAAGTTGTCAAAGAAATAAACATAATGGAAATCTAAATGATGATCAAGTTATTATAAAACATAACTGCTTAGAGATATTGAAATGAAACAAAAAATAGTTAAAATAAAAACTCAAAAGGATAGGTTGCATAGTTCATCAGTTAAACAAATACGTAAAGAAAGAATGAGTCCAAGCAAGAGGGTGCAATGCTTTCAGAATGCATTGGAAAGGAACAAAGGGAGAGAATCATAACAAAGTCAAGATATGTGAAAACTAAAAGAAATTATCAAGTTCCACCAGTGAGAGTCATAAAAGGAGAGAAAGCATAAATAAATGTGACGACATATTTGAGAAAACGATAATGTATCATGAAAAATAATGTAAGATCTCACATAAAAAGAGGATTATGCCAAGAATGGTGGTGCACTCCTGTAGTCCCAGCTACTCAGGAAGCTGAGGCAGGAGGAATGCTGAAGTCTAGGAGTTCAAGGCTCTAGTGCACTATGATTGTGCCTGTAAATAGCCACTGTGCTCCAGTCTGGGTAACATAGTGAGACCCTCACCTCTGAAAAATAAGAGAGAAAGAGAGAGAGAGAAAGAGAGAGAGAGAGAGAGAGAGAGAGAGAGAGAGAGAGAGAGAG